AAACAAAAAACAAAACTAGCCTGGCCCTTCTCTGGCTTACCGTCCCTCCCAAGGCTCCCGGCCCCAAGAGGTGGCTGTCCCAGGAGGCCAGCCAAAGTCCCCGCCTCCTCCAAGTCACGAGGAGGAGCTGGGGCTGCAGGGGCAGGGAGGCTAAATCCTGGTCAGCAAAGGTCCAAAGAGCAGGTCATAGCTTTGGAAGAATCTAGAGGCTTGGAGATGGCAGTTCTAACACTCAGGGTCCCCAGAAGGTGGGGAATGACCTGAGCAAACACACACACACACACACACACACACACACACACACTCAGCCCAGCACAGGATTTCCCTTTATTCTTCCCAGCTAGCCTCCCCCAATGGCTTACCACACTCAAACCCTCCCTCAGGACTGCAACTGTGTACATTTTTATCTGAGCACAGAGCCCATACTGATTCGTGAAAGCTACTTTGTGCAACTGACCAGCTTCCTTCAGGTGGGTCCAGCTTCATGCTGGCCCTGTCCACCCGGATCAGGGCCTGGAGGCCCTGAAAGTCAGCACACGGGGGCCAAAAGCAAGCTTGCCTTCCCTCCGACCTGCATTTCGTCCTGCAATCACCCAGCTTCTAGGGGCCGGGAGCTCTCTTGCCCACCCCCACCCCTTATTTCCACCCTTCACGTTACAATCAGCCACCTCATTCTGTCTGTTCTGTCCCCTCCATATCTCACATCTGCCTGGTATCTCCGCTGAGAACCGGGGCTGTTCCCTCCCAACCGGGAGGCACCCACCCTCTTACCTGACTGTAATCCATCCTCCACATTCAATCCTGCAGCCATCTTGTTTGCTGGACAAATACCGAGCACCTAGTAACAGGTGAGGCGGAAACAACCCTGCCCTCCAGGAACGTTCGGTCCTCAGCAGGAAAGACAAGCAAAAAGTGACTTATATGTGCATAATATATAATAATCATGCACACAAATATTATATAGTATAATTATTCGTAGTCACTATTTACCAAGCTACAAATACCAACTCAATTTGTCATTTGTATTTTTTTAGTGTTTATTTTTCAGAGAGATACAGAGTACGAGTGCGGAGAGACAGAGAGGGAGACACAGAATCTGAAGCAGAATCCAGGCTACAAGATGTCAGTATAGAGGCCAACATGGGGCTCGAACTCACAGACACATGAGATCATGACCCGAGCCCAAGTCGGAAGCTCAACCGACTAAGCCACCCAGGTGCCCCAGTCATTTGTATTTTTAACTTGGTTTATGGTATCGTTTATCTTACAGCTTGTTTTATGATTCCATTGATGTGAAATTCTAGAACATGCAAAGTTAATCGGTATTGAAAAATGTCAGAAGAGTGGATGTCAGAAGAGTGGATGTCTTGGGGGGCATGGAGGAAACCTTCTGGAAAGGGATACAAAGGACCTTTCTAAGATAATGGAAATGTTCTGTATCTTGTTTCAGCTGGATCCAAGGGTCAACACTGACCCTTAAGCAAATACCTACGATTCTGTACGTTTTATTGTAATTCATTTTAAAAAATTAAATCATTTTTGCAAAGAAAAGAACAGTTTTGTTGGCTTTTTTTCTACATGATTCCAGTCTGTTCCATATTCCTATAGCTATTCTAACAATTTTTCTTCTAGATATGCCTTCCTCAATGATTTAACTACATGTATTTTGGATCAAGTTTTTCTAGGACCATACCCTCTGTTCTTTTTCCCTGAGTGCTTTGCTCAACTGAAAGGACTTGCTAGGAACAATTTTATTTTTATTTTATTATTAAAAAATTTTTTACATGTTTATTTTTGAGAGAGAGAGAGACAGAAACAGAACACAAGCTCTGGGGCAGAGACAGAGGGAGATACAGAATCCGAAGCAGGCTCTAGGCTCCGATCTGTCAGCACAGAGCCTGACGCGGGGGTCAAACAAACCCCGAGATCATGACCTGAGCCAAAGCCGGACGCTTAACCAACTGAGCCACCCAGGCGCCCCAGAACAATTTTAATTTATTTTCACAAACTCTGTGTGAGCCATGTCCTTGATTTTGGTCATTGTTCTGGGAATTCACCTTAATCAGCATTTGTTACTCAAAATATTTCTCCATTTTATTTTTTACTGGTTGAAAAAGACAAACAGTTCTAACTTCAATACCACAAGTCCCAGAAGTTCTAGATTCTCTATGTTCCTCTTGCAAATAAGCCAAGTCTGTCCCAAATTCCTCTTTCCTATAATCAAGTGCAGCTGATTACCAAGGTAGTGTAGTAACATCCAGTTTTGCAAACTTGTTGCGATTTGGAGCTCTTTCAGGAATTGGAGTGTCATTGATTTTCTCTTCTTTGGCAGATTCTCTTCTGAAGACACTGGCCTTTTTTCTTTGGCACAATCCTATAGTTGATGGTTCTCCACATTGTACCGTGGTGGCCGGGTGCCACTCTCTCACGTGGCCAAGTCTGTCATCAGCTCTCCGTGTCACTGAAACTCCCAGCCACCCAGCTTTTCGTTTAAGTAGTCAAATCTGCCAACGGCCCATTTAGGGCTTTTGACAACCTCAAAGGAACACTCCATAGTCCAGATATTCTTCTAGAAACTTCATGGGTGTTTTCCTTTTTTAAACGCTTGTATCTTTAATCCGTCTGGAAGGCATTTTGAAATAGAATGAGTCATTTTTTTCATATGACTATCCGTTGTTTCAACATAATTTGTTGAATCCATTCTTTCTCCCCAAATTGAAAAGTCATTTTAGCATCTACGAAGTTCCCATAAGTACCATAAGTAGGACTGTTAACACTGATCTATCATCTCTTTCTGTGCTGGTACCAACTGCTTAGAGTACTTTATAAAGTATCAGGGAGGGCAAAGCTACCCTCATAACCTTTTTTCCGACAAATGCTTATCAGCTATTCTACACACACATTCTCCCAAATATAATTTAGGATCATTCCGTGAAGTTCCAAAACATACCATGGAGTTTTACAGAAATTGCAATGAATCTATAGGTTTCCTTGGGGGCAAATGGTATCTTTACAAAACTGAGGTTGGCAATTCAGAAACATGGTGTTTCTTCATTTACTCAAGTTTTCTTTTCTGCCCAGCAGCAAACGTTTCTATATTCTTTTCATATACTTCTTGTCCACTTTACTCCTAGGTACTTCAAGCTTCTGTTGCCAGTGTAAATTAAAAATACTTTTTTCTCCTAACATTTTCTAACTGGAGTTTACTGCTAATACAGGAGGGCTCTTCTGTTGATTCAGTACAAGATTTCCAAAAATAAAATGAATGTGGTATCTCCCTGCTTAGAAATCCTTTAGTGTCTCCAGACTGCCCCGGATAAAACTGAAACCCTTTTAATGGCCCGCGCCTTCCCTGACCTTGACCTTCTATCAGCCTTCCAGCATTCTCCAACAGACTCTACTTTCCAGGCCAACACTTTCTTAAGGTACCTTGATGAGGCCGTCCATCTCCACACCTTTACACCATTGCGTATGCTGTTCTCTCCACTTGGAATTCCCTTCCCCATCTCCCTCCTCCACTCCACCTTCTTTCTAGCTTTTTCTTCAAACAGCTCAACTGTCACTTTCCTTGAGAAGCCTACCCTGACCTCCTATCCCAGACTCGCTAAGGCACCCCTTGTCTACATTCTCCCAGCAGCCTTCTGCTTCTTATTTTTTGTAGCTCTAGCCCCACTAAAAATTTTTTTCCTGAAAGAAACCTATGTAGCAAAAAGACCCAAGAAAGAGAAATCACAGTAATCCCACCAGTAACTTGTTTTGACATTTTACTAGAGTTCTTTCCCTTTTTAAGGTTGGGAAGCTGGGCTTCCAGTTTCACTTTTGTGAGCACCCCGAAGAGGGTCTTGGATAGGTCTCCCACTCGTGTTGAAGGAAGCTGGTTAAGAACAGTGAGCCTGGAAGCCAGCGGACTGGGAGACTGGAAGACAGGAGCCCGGGCCTGGCTCCAATTCTGCCCCCCTCCGATCCACACCTCCTCGCGGCTGGGCCACGGCTGCAGGCCACACCCAGTGGCCCTGCCTTCCCAGGGTTCCTTGCACCTGTCACGCGTGTTATGTCCTACGTTCAGCCCCACCGGCTTCTCTCCAAGGGTAACCCCAGGAGGTGTCTCCGGTAGCTGGGCCCATCAAAGAGGCCATCTCAAAATGGCCTCGTGGCTTCGTCTTCAGATCCAAGTGGCTTCTCCTTTCTTTACTAAACCCCATCCTCTCGATTTTCTCTTCTCCTCCGAAGCCCAAGCGGCTCACCCCCTGGACTCCCTCCGGGAAGGCGACCCGCCCAGCCTTTGTCATATAAGCTGCACCAGGGGCCGTATTTGCTTTCGGCAAAAGGCGGGCAAAAGGCGGACGGGGTCGCCAGAGTCGGAAAGGCGGGGGACAATCAGGGACGGGCCGAGGCCTGCATTTTGCGCCCCGCCGAGACCTTGAGGAAGGGAAAGTGAGCCCTTTCCCAGCCCCATCTCTGACTCACGCGGCCTCCCAGGGCCCGTGTCTCCAGTTTCCCAATGTGCACGACGAGGAAATAACTCGGTGTGGTTAAATGCTGCCCTACCGCTCGGACTTTTAATATGCCCTTGGCCAAGTCTCGGGGAGCCCGCCCGGGGCCTCAGGAATCGCCCCGACGGCCCGAGGGTCAGGGGCGCCTTCTGTCGGTTCCAAGACCCAGGACACCCTGGGCTCGGAGCGGGGCACGCTGCCCTTCCGCACGTCTTCCCCACAACAGTCCCTAAGGCGCGGCCCAGCGCAAGGACGCCACGGACCCCACGCGCGACCGGGCACGCGCAGCCTTCCCCCCCTCCCCCCGGCGGGGCCGCCCTCCCCCCGGCGGGGCCGCCCTCCCCCCGGCGGGGCCGCCCTCCCCCCGGCGGGGCCGCCCTCCCCCCGGCGCCTCAGGGGCGGGTCCCCGCGTCCACCGGAAGAGGCGGGACTCGACACGGCGGGCGGGCGGCTTGATTGGCCCGAGTGGGCCTGACGCCCGATCCCGCTATAAGTGCGGGGCCGCGGCCATCTGCGCCACAGTCTCTGCCGAGAGTCGCCGCGGTTTCCTGCTTCAACAGTGCTTGGACGGAACCCGGCGCTCGACCACCCCCTCGCCCCGGACGGCCGCCCAGAGCCAGCCCTCCGCCATTTCCTCACAGCGCCCTCGGATCGCCCCAAGGCCCCCGCCGCCGCTCCAGCGCCGCCACCGCCCGCCACCGCCTCTCCTCAGCCGCCGCCATGACGACCGCGTCCCCCTCGCAGGTGCGCCAGAACTACCACCAGGACTCGGAGGCCGCCATCAACCGCCAGATCAACCTGGAGCTCTACGCCTCCTACGTTTACCTGTCCATGGTGAGCGCGGGCGCGGCCTCTCCGGGCGCGGGCGGCGGGGCGGGGCGGGGGTGTGGCTAACGGGCGGGCTCTCCCGCCTCCGCGCGCCCCGCAGAAAAATGGACGTTGCTCGAGGTCTCCCGGGGCTTGCGCAGAAATTCTGGCCAGTTCGCCCTTTGCGAGTGTCCCCTGGGAGGGCCGCCTCTGCGCATCCCTCTGTATTTGAAGAGGGCCTGGTTTTCTGAAACCCTGCAGTTGGCCACGGTTGCGACCGGTTCAGTCCTGCACCTAGGAAGGTGGTTTTTGCCTTTGCATCCCTGCCTCTGCATCGATCACGTGATCCCGAGGCCGTCCGTTGGCTTGGGTAACGGGCGAGGTGGTTCAGCCCCCGTCCCCTCCCCCCGCCCCCGTCTCCTCCCCCCGCCCCCGCCTCCCGGGTATGGCGGAGCCTGCTGGGTAATGGTGTCGGATAGCAACGGCCGCGCGGAGGGGGGCGGGGGGGTCTGGTGCTAAGTGGCTTATCTCCAGTAAGCTGACCACTCTCGAGCAGCCGTCACCACCCCTCTGTCGCGCTTATCTCGGCGCCCCACTTGAATTGAAGCGCGGAAATCTCCCCTTCCGAGGGCACAGTTGTCCTCGTCATCTGTCCTTGTGCCTGGATACTTAATTGTATCTTTTCGGTGCCTGAGAGTTGTGGCCCTCTATTTAACTCTTGGGTTTTGGATAAAGTACGCCAGCAGTTACTGGGCAAAGAATTTTTCCGTGCACTAATCCGTGGAATCTGGTTTCCAGAATCGTAGTTCTCAGGCGGTGTGGTGGGAGTTTTACTTAGAATTGGCTTTAGGAGTGTGCAAATATCCGAGAATAGACCTGCTCCAGATGGGTTTGAAAACAGGCCTGGATTTCCATGACCGCCATTCCGTTTCAGGAACACCTGAATACAGCAGGTGTCTAAAACTAATCCGGTTTTGTTTTTTGCTTTCTGCAGGCAGTATATTTGTATACATTATCATTGCCCACAGCACTCACCTTGACTAACGGGTTAATTTTAGAAATTTGTCAGGCTGCTCTAAGCCCGCAAACTCCTGTTTCAACAGGGGTTAATCAGGGAGTAGGGAGAGAAGGCATTATTTGTACAGGGTAAATACTCCCACACCCTCTCCAATCTAATGGGTCCCTGGCGGAAGAACTTTGCACTAATACAGAATCTTAAGGAATTCCATGCTGGGGGCAATTCTCATGATAGTCTAAAGTTCCTTGTAGTAAGTTTCAATTTCAAGGACCACGTTCAGAGTAATTACTGTTGTCGTCAGTCCAGGAACACAACTTGCCCCCCCCATCCCCCTTCTTGCTGGGCTTTGAGAAAGACAGACGGGGCTATCGAGGCTAGCCTCCTGCCTTTCTTGGGACTCCTTAACGTAACATCCACGTTCCCCTTTCAGTCTTACTATTTTGACCGTGATGATGTGGCTTTGAAGAACTTTGCCAAATACTTCCTTCACCAATCTCATGAGGAGAGGGAACATGCCGAAAAGCTGATGAAACTGCAGAACCAACGAGGTGGCCGGATCTTCCTCCAGGATATCAAGGTGAACGAAAGATCTAGAGGTGCCGTGCTTCCTGAGCTAGCTAGCGGTCCTCGGGTGTCCAAAATCACTCAGAAGCTAGCCATTGCCCCGATAAGATGTGGCTACTTTGGGATTTTGTGGTTATAGGCCTACCTTCTAAGCTAAAGGAGACAAAGAGTAAGGGGTGGGGATGCTAAGTTTTAAACTGTTGCAGGAGACACTTGGATGTCCCCTTGGAAACGCAAGTGGTTACATGTTAGAGGCGCTCTCTGACCTGGGGATACGTAGAGGCGGCAGGTGCACTGACCTGACCTCCTCTCGTTCAGAAACCAGACCGTGATGATTGGGAGAATGGGCTGAATGCAATGGAGTGTGCGTTACACTTGGAAAAGAGTGTGAATCAGTCACTATTGGAACTGCACAAGCTGGCCACTGACAAAAATGACCCCCATGTGAGTACTTGCAATCGGGGCGCCAGTTGAGGGGATCCTTTGCCTCTCGGGGGGCTGGGAAAGCTTACCAGTAACGTTGTTCCCCATTTCTGCTTTCTAGTTGTGCGACTTCATCGAGACACATTACCTGAATGAGCAGGTGAAATCCATCAAAGAATTGGGTGACCACGTAACCAACCTGCGCAAGATGGGGGCCCCTGAATCTGGCATGGCAGAGTACCTCTTTGACAAGCACACCTTGGGAAACAGTGATAACGAGAGCTAAGCCTTAGGCTGTCCTCCCGTGGGTGACTTCTCTGGTCACCGAGGCAGTGCATGCATGTTGGGGTTACCTTTCCCTTTTCTATAAGTTGTACCAAAACTTCTACTTAACTTCATTTGTACCATTCCTTCAAATAAAGTAATTTGGTACCCAGCCGTTGTCTTTTGAGAGGGTGACATGGGCTAGAAACGGATCTGGGTCCTCTCTGCAAAATCTGTGCGTGCTCCCGTTCAGCCACAGTAATCAAACTGAAATGTCCAGGAGGATTTTTATTTATTAAACTCCTTAGTTTGGGAATGATGTCAAGGCTTGGGTGTATGGAATTCAGACAGGACTTAAGGACTCCTGATCCCAAATTCTGATGTTTTGAATTCCATGTTTCCAGTGATTCATTGTAGCTTTCGCAATTTTTATGCACAAAAGGCCTTTAAAGGCTTAAGTAGTCCTGAAACTACAGATTTCGTTATCCATCGAACTAACCATTTCATTCAGGCTGTCGTGTGAACATATTCTTCAGTGTGGACAGCTGTATGGCTATGACTGGGTCAGTGTCCCGTGGGTGTACATGCAGGTAGGACCAGGCCGGTGAAGTGACCCTCTAGGGAAACAGGCTAAGAACGTGCTTCATCCCTAGAGAGAATTTGAGAAAGTTTACAACGTGAGTTTGGAAGGATGCTATTCACCTCGGTGTTAAACTGGTTGCATTTAGGGCAAAGGTTGGGACATCTAAACTACAAAAAAATCACGAGTGGCATCAGGAGACTGCAGAACCATTGCCCCTTGCTAATGACTGCATTCATGTCCTTTCCTGAATAAGCCCGGGTGATGCATAAGTTTCTGTCTAGCCAGAAACAAACCCTTTCAGCTTTTTAATCACAGTGTGTGTACTGACCCAGAAGTAACTGAGAATCGAAATAGGAAGTTACAGTTCCACCTCGTGATTGGGGGTGGGGAAGGGTGGGTCTAACTGGGTGAAACCCTGAATGTGGGGAAACATCTGCTGGTATTTGACAGCTTTGGATGGACCCCAAGGAGGCACATTAAGTTCAGAGATCCTGAGGGGTTCCCTAAAACAGTAAGATCCCCCAGGGGATCTGGACGCCCTCACCTTGACCATCTACCAGTTCCCAGGGGTGTTAATACTTTCCAGAAGTGTTGCAGGATCACTGAAGGAAGGGTTATGGGGCAGTGTTCTGTGCAATCTCGCAGCGAAGGCTGGGTAGTGAGTGGAGAGCTTGGGTTATAGCCTAGACTCCCTAGGTCCACCTCATGGTTTTGCGCCTGCTCTTGCAGCAGTGAGCTGGACCCAGGGATCTGCCCACCTAAGCCTGGCCTTGTAGCCCCCAGGCATTGCTCCGGTCAGTGCAACCTCTTCCTGCACCTGGGACCCGGGGAACTCCTCCTGGTGGTCTCAGGCTCTTGGGTGGAATGAGCAAAAGCCCTCAACACTGACTAGCCCTTGGCTGAGGTGGCCTGGCGTGTGCCCCAAGGCAATGCAGGGTGGGGGTCCAACATGCTCTGGCCTTGAGGGGAGCAATGGAAGAATGGCGGAAGAAGGGTAGACTCACAGCCAGGGACGCTGGTGGGGCTTCCACCCATGGGGGTGGAGGGGAGGTAAAAAGACCCAGTGAAGGTAGAGAACAGACCTGTTTTCCAAGGCCCAGTAGGGATCCCCATGATTTTTTAGTGTGTATGTTGCTCGACGGGTCCAAACGTGATTCTCTGAGATGATGTTCCAGGGTCTCCCAACAGGTCACTCAGGTTAAACTCAACAGTTTTCTTCTTCAGGTGACCCAATTGTGGGTTCTCTACGGAGGACCCAACACTGTCTGAGAGCAATTCAAAACCGCTCTCTCTCTCCGGAGTCCCAGGCTGTAGGCTTTGGTCTTTGACAACATCGTCTATGCCGGAGACTCTGCGAAGGCTTGAGGGTGCTGACTTTCCAGGTGGGAAGACCATGGGGGTGTGGCTGAGGGGTGTCTGGGGGGCACTGTGGTAGCCTGACCTCCCGTACAGTGCGGCCGTCTCGAAAGAGTCCTCCTCAATCTTCCAGAACTTGCTGCCTTCCTGGTCGCTAGGGTGCTGTCTGGCACTCCCGACTTTCTGGGGCTGGCCCTCTTGGAGAAGGCCTTCTTTCTGGGGTCGTAGCAGTTTGGTCTTTGAGTTTGTCCTTGGGGGATGGTGGTTGTGGGACTGTAGCCCCAGGAAGCGGCCGATGATGCCAGTTTGAGGGCCCTCCTCCTCTTCTGGATTTACCTGAAACTCCATGTCTTCCTTATGCAGGCTGGAAAGGAGACTCAGGGTTGGGTGGCAGACCAGGACCAAGGCCTGACCTGACTTCTCCTTTTCCCACTCTTTTCCCTCCCTTTGGTCCAAAGGCAAGGACACAGGGTGTTCCTCGCGATGCCTGGGCTCACCTCTCTCCCGGCCCACCCTGTAACTGCCTTATTAATCCTTCAGGGCCTGACTCCCCTCACTGTGTGTGCCTCCCTCTTGCCCGTGCTGACTAAAGCCCCTAGCCTGGCACTTTAAGGGCTTTCTCTTCATCTCCGTCTTCTCGTTCACACCCCTCACTCCAGGCAAGCAGAATACTGCTCCCCAGGTATGGTTAGTTGTGTGAGGCCCAGGAGCGACTCCGGGTAGGCTGGGGGTTTGTGGTTGTAACTGCGGAGCAGCAGATCCACAAAGTCCGGCTTCCAGGAAGCCCGAGGCCTTTGCTCTGCAGGAGAAAGCCCACCTGTCCCAGAGCGTGGCCTGCCCTTGCCCGTGTCCACATTCTCCCCGTGCCAGAGGCCACGTCCCAGACCAAACGTGGTCTCTCGCTCTATGCATGTTCTGTCTCTGCCAGGCACCCCGTGCTTTGTACCTTGTATCCAGAGTTTGGGCCTTGGGTTTGAGTCCCTTCACTAAATTGTGTGTTTCTTGCAGACAAGGTCTATGTATTATTAGGCTCTGTCCACCCAGCCTGCAGCTGCTAGAGTAGAGACCACATGGAATTCAAAAGCAACTTCTAGAAATGTTTCTGACCTGAGCAAGCCTCCAACCTTCACGTGATCCCTTTTTCAAATCTTCCTCACACCCACTAGAGACTCTAGCTAAAATAGCTAATTCTAATTATGGTTTACGGGGATATTTGGTTTTTAAAAGACAATAGTGCTGGGGCTCCTGGGTGGCTCAGTTGGTTAAGCGCCCGACTTTGGCTCTTTGGTTTGTGAGTTCGAGCCCTGCATCGGGTTCTGCAGAGATGGTGCAAAGCCTGCTTGGGATTCTCTCTCCTCCTTTTTCTCTGCCCCTGTATCGCTTGTGCTCTCTCTCTCTCAAAAATAAACTTTAAAAACCCTCTTAAAAAAGATGACAGTGCTTAATACTATGGAAGAAAACCTTGATGGTATGGACCCTGACATGCAGAGGACTCTCTACAGTCCTCTCCACTCTCATGCTGGGGGGAGAGGGCCCTTCAGCCCACTGTGACCCTGCTGCAGCTTAGAAGGGATTCGAACCAAATCTAGGAAATGGGAGCCATGAGCAGGAAAGTTTGTCTGGTTGCTGTGGGTGATGTGAGGCCTGAGCTCTGTAGCATAGAGCCTACCCGGAAGTTACCAGTGAGGACCCAGCCTCTTGCTGGGACATGCTTGCTGTCCTTCCCCTCACTTCCTCCCCCTCCCCACTTTCACTCCCCATCCAAACACCCCAGTTTATCAGAAAATGTAGTTCCGGACCAGAGTTGGGAACCAGGCTCTGACATCCTAACTGCATCACTGATCACTGACAGCCCTTGAGGAGTTCCCTTCTTTTCTCAGGGCCTCAGTTTCCAACTCTGGACATGGGGGGGTTAGACTGGATGTACCTAAAATCTCTTATAGCTTTAGGAATTACTCAACAGTACAAGGTAAGGGTGTGGAGGTAGAAGCAGACGTACCCAGTCTGCATGGGCCATTTGCTACCTGTGACCTTGGGCTGGACAACCTACTTAACCTCACTGAACTTGGACTTAATCTTCAGAAAACTAGAGGTACCAAACCAGGTCATTGGGAGGAAAAAGACAGTTTATATAAAGAGCTTAGCAGAATTCCCAGCACTTAGCACGCATCCAATATTGTATTAACTAGTGCTATTCTAAGTTTGGGGGCAGGCCCTTGCACTTGGGCTTTTCTACCCACTAAAGTGGTCCCGGGCACTGCTCACCTGATGTTGAAGGTAGAGCCTAAAAAGGAGGGTCGATGATACTGGGCGGAAGCAGCTGTATAGGGGGGTTGTGGTTCTGGATCATTCCAGTACATATCCCGCTCCATTGGGGGCAGGTCCTGGTGCATGTCGTCCACAGCCAACAGGGACACCTGGTTGCCGGGCACAGAAGGAAAATCCAGGACAAAGGTCAGCCCAAAGTAGGACCTTGAATTTGCTAGATGACTTTGAGAGGTCACTTCCCTCTCTCTCTGGGCCTCAGTTTCCCTACTTGTGAAATGGAGAGACTGATGCCTATCTTCAGCCTTGAAAGTTGGGGTGAGAATCCTGTGAGTGAATGGTTGGCTGGGAGGTAGGCAGTGTGCCGTGAGGCCTTCTTGCAGACCCCTGGGGTCCCCTCCCTGGCTCGCATTCAGGGAAGGACCACAGGGTAGGCTCCCCTTGTCCCCCAAGTACCTGCAAGCTCCTGTCGACAATCCAGTTGGTCTCAAAGTCATCATCGTCCTCTCCAAATGGGTTGATGAGCTGCTCTGCCACCTTAGGGAGAGATGAAGTGCTGGAAATCCTCAGTTAGGCTCCCTGCAGCCTGCTCCCTGCCCTTAAACTTCCGGTGCCTCCTCACTCCACGCCCCCCACGATGCCCCGCCTCCCTAACCACCAGTATGTCCTTCCCTTCAGGACACTGAGCCTGAGCGCCTCTCCTGAGCCAGTTGCTCCCTGAACACCCAGAGCTGTCCTTAAGTGTGTCACTCAGCAGAGTCACCACCGGTCCCTCCCAAACCTGTATGCTCCCTGGAGTTCCATAATTCTTTTTTTTTTTTAAATGTTTATTTATTTCTAGGAGACAGAGAGAGAGACAGCGTGAGCAGGGGAGGGTCAGAGAGAGAGGGAGT